GGCCCCCCCCCCCCCCCCCAGCTTGAGTGGTGGGATTAAAGGCATGTGCCAGCACCACTTGGCTTTTTCACTGTTTTGACACAGAGTTCCACTAAGTTGTCAGTATAGCCTCCTGCCTCTCTGTCTTCTGCAGACAGCATGACAGGTGTGGGCCTTATGACCTCAGGTGAGCCGAGTTTTCAGCAGATAATGCACAGCTGCTTCCAGTAAACTCCAGCCCACCTCTATACATCAAAAGGTCCAATGGCAGCTGGTTCTGGAGCACATGACTTAATCCTAGCACTCAGGAGGCTGGAAGTTCCTGTAAATTGGAAGCCATTCTGACATACACAGTTAACAGCCTGTCTCAGAGAAAATAGTTTCAAAAGGACAAGATCTGAGAACTAAACAGACTAAGAACCATTCTGCAGCCAACTCCTCAGAAACCCTGAAGGCTACGCACCAAGGGGCACCTGAGCAAAGAGCCATCACAGCCAGGTGTGGGGCTCATGCCTCTAGTCCAGCACTCGGAAAGGTAAGACAGATCACTCTGAGTTCAAGGCCAGACTAGCCTGGGCTACATAGTCAAGTAGGTCAGCCTGAATAGCACTCCAGACCCAGGCCTCCAACAGAGCTCTGCAGAGTTAGTGGGCAGGAGGAGACATGGAAAGAAGGCTGTGCTTTGGGACTCTGACCACGGACCCTATGGGTGCCACTCCATTTTGATGCAGAGGCTGCTGAGGAAGGCACCCAGTTAAGCTACTGAATGAGGCAGCAAGGCAACTGAAAGGAGTGACTTGGACAGAACACAAACCCTGAAAGAAGTCAAATAAAGTGGTACATCCAGTATTCCAATACCAGGTGACTTGAGTCAAACCTGCTCTCCAGTGAATCTGACCCTTTGCAATTGCCAGGGACTGTCCTTTGCTACGATGTTTGCTGAGACACATATGAGCACACCACACCCAGCTCCAGGTGGCTCTAAGCTCCACCTATATGAGTTCAAGGAACCCTCACAGCAACCTGCCCTGTGGCTGTTCTCAGTAAACTACACACTGGGCCTCACCACAGTTGATATGACCATGAAACAGACCCCTTACCCATCCTGCTGACTGCTAACTGTGCTTTAAGCGAGCTAAAGGAAAATACAAGTAGCACCAAATAGGTGCCCATGATGCTGCTCTGAGAGTGTGCCAAGCAGCATGTCTCTCAGGCTACACAATACCACAAGTTACTAAAGAAAACAAGAGTCAGGTGTGATGGCACACACCTTTAATTCTAGTACTCAGGTGGCAGAGGCAGATGGATCTTTAAGAGTTTGGAGCCAGCCTGATCTACATAGCAAATTCCAGGACAGCCAAGCAAGGCTACATATCCAAAGGAAGAAGAGGAGGGAGGTGGGGAGATAGAGACAAGGGCTATCTTTAAACACGAATGCCATAGGCAAAGGACTCTTACATCAATAGTAAAATACAGGAATTTTCAAATAGAAGATAGAAGTATTGATTTCTGATTTATACGATGGTTTTGTTTTTCAAGATAGGGTTTCTCTGTATAACAGCCCTAGCTCCTAGCTGTCCTAGAACTAGCTCTGTAGACCAGGCTGTCTTCAAACTCACAGAGGTCTGCCTGCCTCTGCTTCCTGAGTGCTGGGATTAAAGGCAGGTGCCACCACTGCCTGGCTTGATTTATACTACGTTTAATTTAAACATACTTTACTCACACAAGCCAAAGAATCAGATCAGCACATAACCAATACCATGTAAATAACATCAAAAGACACAGTAAATAACAAAATAAAAACTAAGACGAAAAAACTAGTTGAAATTTTAATTAATAACACACCATATAGAATGATTTAATCAACTTTTTATCTGGAACACATCTACTTCTCTTCTGTGAAAACTGTTTTGTAAATAGACCAGATTTCCATGAATAAGCCCTGAACCTCCCACTCCTATAAGAAGCCAGTCTTTCAGGACCGATGGTGGCCATGCAGGGTTTCAAATATTGCCAGGAAACAGTGAGTCAGTGCTGAACATGGGAAGCAAACTGTAGCATACAAAGTAGGCAGGGGGCAATGTTTGACAAACTCAAGTACGACATGATGTGCTGGTAGAGGTCGCATCTTCTTTAGCTCCTAAACAAATCGAGCCACCAACAGGAAAAAGGTCACCACACAGAGAATGCTACGACATTTTTTACTTGCTAGACTCCTTTCCATCTTCTCTCTCTCCTCAGCTCTCGATACTGTTGTCAAATTCTACACACTGGCAAAGAAAAAAGGGGTGAAAATTGAGGTATTCTGCAGAGAAATGATAAAAAGTTTGTGGTGGTTACTACAACGAATGCAGAGCCATTAGACCAACCTAAATGCCTGGAAGACATGGGCCACCCATGCAAACCTGAAACCATTTCAATGTTGTCTCTTACCCTTTAGCAGACATTCTCTCCACCTCCCTCCCACTTTGGGAAGTAAAACCAGTTCATTTCATAAAGCCATTGGGGAAACACGTTTTTTTCCTTTTAGGAGCTGTCAGTTCACAGACAACATAAACAACCATTAGGCTTCTCAAGCCTGCTGTGAGAATCTACTTAGCTGAGAAGCTCTCTGGCTTCCCACATGCGGGAAGGCATTCACCTGAAGCCCAGACTAAAAACACAGACATTGCAAGGCTGGGAGAAGGGCACGTGGAGCTTCCTGCAAATCACAAGCTCTCTCATATTGAACCGAAGGCTGCTGAGGCTTGGCAACAAGTCATATGCTCAAAAGACTCTGTATGGTAGTAATTTTTATTCCAACTGTAGAGTTCACACAGCTTAAACTCACTAAAGTTTACAGTTGATAGTTTTCAGTGTATTCAATCATGTGCAGCCACTGGGCTGGGAATGGACTTCAACTGGTCAAGTGCTTGCCTAGCACGAATAAAGGCTTGGCTAGATACCCAGGATCACATAAAGCACCCACAGCAGTGCACACCTACAATCTCATCTCTCAGGTGGAGGCAGGAAGATCAGAAGTTCAAGGTCATACTTGGTAGAACTGCAGTTTGAGGCCATCCTTAAGCTCACTAAGACAATGCCTTAACAAGGTGGGTGGGTGGATAGGCATAACAGGGGTAGGCAGTGAGCAAGGCTGTGGGGGAGATGGGAGGGAAAGAGAACCGCAAAAACACACTTTGTTTGAAAATGTTACCATGAACCAGGCAGTGGTGGTGCACACCTTTACTCCCTCCCAGCACTCAGAGGCAGAGGCAGGCGGATCTCTGAGTTTGAGGCCAGCCTGATCTACAGAGAGAGAGAGAGATAGCCAATGCTACACAGAGAAACCCTGTCTCAAAAATCCAAAAACAAAAAAAACCAACAAAAGTTATAATGATACCTAACGCATGATGTGCCAATTTTAAAAAATAGATAATTTTTTTAAAGCAGAAAAAAGTGTCAAGGGGCATGTAATCCCAGCACATGGGGGGGAAGAGGCAGGAAGATCTCGGTGAGCTCTAAGCCTGTGTGACAGTGAGTTTCAGAACAGCCAGGGCTATGTAGAGAGACCCTGTCTCAAAAAGAAAAGATGATTATACTTTTTCTCTTAGCTATGTAATTTCAGAATATTCCCAGTGAACAAAAAATAAATCTCATGAACTGTTTTATCCATGTTTCTCCTAGTAGCTGTTTCCAGGCATTTTAATTGGCTAAGGTGAATCTACAGACTATAGGCTATGGTACGGAACTCTGCATGTCTAGCTGACACCAAACCAAAATTCTTAGCATTTTTAGTAACCAGGGCAACATAACTTTAAGTGTTAGCTAAGAATGGCAGAAAAATTTGCATTCACCTTGAGGTACACATTAGTGTACCTCAAATTCATCCATGTTAAAGGGGAAGACAGAGGCCAGGCATGGTAATGCATGCCTTTAACCTTTACTCCCAGTACTCGGGAGGCAGAGGTAGGGGGATCTCTGTGAGTTCCAGCCCAGCCTGGTCTACAGAGCGAGTGCCAGGACAGCCAGGGCTACATGTAGAGATCCTGTCTCAAAAATAAAGGGGTGGGAAGAGGTAGTATACTTGGATGAGCCATAACTGTCCACAGCTGCAACTTGAAAAGACGTACTTTGCTAGTGGGAAACCCTTCCTTAGTATCAAATACAAGTTGGATAAAAGAACAACAATGGGGCTGCAGAGACTGCTCAGCGGTTAAGAGCACTGTCTGCTCTTCCAGAGGACCTGAGTTCAATTCCCAGCAACCACATGGTGGCTCACAACCTTCTGTAGTGGGATCTGATGCCCTCTTCTGGCATAAAGTCACACATGCAGATAGAGCACTCATACACATAAATGTGAAATAAACGTTATTAAAGAAATACTGTCCAGCTTGGAAACACAGCCAGCGGCCTTTCTCTGCAAAGAGGCCTTTCACAGCCAGGCAAAGGTCTCTTGAGAAAGCCCACCTGCATGCTGCTCAGGCTGCAGGATCTAGTGGTCCACGTATGCACATGGCTTATAAGACACATGGAGACCTCACCTTCAGGCATCAGGGTGCTGGAAGCAGGAAGCAGTAGGTCCAGGAAGGTGTCCTGTTTTCTGCACTTAAACATGAGGCACTATCTCCAGAGAAGTCCTTGGAGTGTGCCCAAGATGTATTGTTCTAAGTTGTCTCAGAGTTGTCCAGCTGCCCTCACCAATAAGTCAGTCTTTCCAGGATGACAGAAACCACCAGACAAAGCAGATGCATATGGACTGAGAGAAAGCCTTCTTTAATGTCTAACATAGCTGGGTTAAAACGAAGAGACTTAACCATTAAGCAAATCTGAGTTTAATCATTGCTTTAGATACAGCAGTTAACAAGCACCAGGCTCAAGAGTCTAGTCTCAGCATGGGCACTCAGCGCTTACTAAAGGGATCTGGGGAGCCTGGCGTAAGGCCACAATGAGCCCTTTTGTTGGAAGAAAAATTAATTTGATTTGATAAACATGTAAATAAGGTAAAAACCGGATTGCTGGTAATTTAGCTCATCCTTGCTGATGCCACTTAAAACTTGTTCAGTGACTTGTGTTGTTCATAGCTGAACTCTAGTAATATATGGTTTTATTCCAATTTGCAATAATGATTTAAATACATGCTCACTTCCTGAATTTTCCAAAACACAATCAGACTTCTTTCATATTTTTTGTTTTTTTTGAGACAGGGTTTCTCTGTGTAGCTTTGGAGCCTATCTGGGCACTTGCTCTGGAAACCAGGCTGGCCTTGAACTCAGATCCACCTGCCTCTGCCTCCCGTGTGCTGGGATTAAAGGCATGCGCCACCGCCGCCGCCACCACCTGGCTAAAACTTCCTATTCTTAAATCTGGTTTCCTGGCTTAAATTTAGCCCTTTCAAGAGCACATGTGGTTCTTAAGCTGGAAATGAATATACATACACACACACATCATTTTCCTGAGTGCTAATGGAATACTTGAAACTAGACAATAGACAGAACGTTGATACAACATTTTCTACAAGCACTGTATTGATTCCTCCAATGTAGAAAGTGTGAGGCAACTATTTGCTAAAAGGATTATTTCAAGTCCCTTAATACAAGATCACTGAAAAGATTAGGGGCCCCACAGTGGTGGAACATGCCTTTAATCCCAGAGGCAGAAGCAAGTGGATCTCTGTGAGTTCCAGGACAGCCAGGGATGTTGCACAGAGAAACCCTGTCTAGAAAACAAAACAAGATTAGGAAACCATCAAAATAACTATCCTTCAAACTACTCTTTTTTGTTGTTGTTGTTGTTGTTGTTTTGAGACAGGGTTTCACTATGTAGCTCTAGCTGTCCTGGAACTCGTTTTATAGATCAGGCTGGCCTCAAACTCACAGAGATCCACCTGCCTCTGCCTCCCGAGTGCTGGGACTAAAGGCGTGCGCCGCCGCCGCCGCCGCCGCCACCTCCACCACCACCACCCACCTGGCCTTTCAAACTACTCTTCATATAAATCTTTTGGCCTGGGAGTGTTCAAAAGCCTTCCTGGTCACACATCTGTAATGCCAGCATCTGAGAGGTGGAGACAGGGGGTCAGTAGTCATTTAGGGTCCTCTTCTGCATAATCCTCACCTCAAATAAAACAAGCCAACAATAAAAAAGTAATGGGAACAGGCACCTGAAAGGATGACAGGCAGGAAGATGGTGAGTCTCAGGCAGGCTTGACTTCAGAGAGAACTGTCCCAAAGCCAACATGTCAGAAAGCTTTAAAAGACAAAACATTTTAGGGCTAGAGATGGGTCAGCAGTTAAGAGCAATGGCTGCTCTTCCAAAGGACCAGGGTTCAGTTCCTAGCACCACATGACAGCTCACAACTGTCTAATTCCAGCTACAGGGGCTCTGACACCATCACACAGAGAAACATGCAGGCAAAACATCAATACACATAAAATAAATTTAAAAACAAATAAAAAAAAACTAGCTGGGCATGGTGGCACATTCCTGTAATGCCACATTTGGAAGGTAGGTAGAGGCAAGCATATCTCAAATAGTGAATGCCATGTCTGGCTGGGCTATGTATAAAGACTCTAAAGAAATTTCCAGTCCACCGGGTGGTGGTGGCACACGCCTTTAAACCCAGCACTTGGGAAGCAGAGGCAGGCAGATCTCTGTGAGTTCGAAGCTGGCTTGGTCTTACACTTGCACCACCTGTGTCCTCACGATCTCCAAACTCAGGTCTGGGTGATTAAGTTTTCCAAGTCATTGTTTCTGAATGCCAGAATCTACTTCAACAGCCGATTTCTTTGATTTTTTTTTTTTGTAGATTAAAAAGAAATATACACAAAGATAGAAACATCAGTAGCCTCCATCTTCCAGGTAGGCGTGGGTACTTCATTAATTCCTGTTGATTTAAAAGCTGTCTCAAGCCGGTGAGATGGTTCAGAAGGCACTTGCCACCAAATCTGATTTCTCAACACACACACACACACACTCGGAGTAATCAAATGTTCTAATAAATAAAGATGCCTCAGGAGCCAAGTTCCATGATTATACATCAACCCTCAGGGAATAGAAAAACAAATGTCAAACAAGAATCAAGAGGTCAAAAAATCAGATTATTAGGACTGGAGAGATGCTTAGCAGCTAAGAGCACCAGCTGTTCTTGCTGAGAACCCTGGTTTGATTCCCAGCACCCACATGGCAGCTCACAACCATCTGTAATTCCAAGGGCACCAGATATGACCCTGCTGCACAGACACACATGCAGACAAAATTAGACACATAAAAATAATTGTTGAAACTCAGAAGACAAGTGGGACATAGTGCCAACACCTTTAATCCAGCACTCGGGAGGCAGAGGCAGGCGGGTCTCTGTTGATTTCAAAGATAGCCTGGTCTATACAATGAGTTCCACGATAGACAGGGCTACAGAGTGAAAACCTATCTTGAAAAACACACCAGCAAACAAGGCAGACACTGACAATTACACTATGCCCACTCCTTTCATCTGTCAGAAAACCATTCTACTGTAACTTCATAATATCTCGATGACAACATAACACAGAAACATAGACTGCAGCTACTAGAGGTGGCCATGTCCTGTAAACCCAGAACTCTGGAGAAAGAGGTAGAGAAAAGGATCCCTAGTGGGGAGCCCAGCTGAGCAACACAGTGAGCTCCATGCTTGCCAAAGCTACACAACAAGACCTCATCCTTCAAAACAACAAGATAAGATGGCTGTAGAGATGGCTCTGTGGCTGAGAGTGTTTGCTGCACAGGCATGAGGACTGGAGTTTGAATCCTCATCAGTAGGTAAAAAGCCAGGCATATCCAAACATGTTCATAACCCCAGTGTTGGGAGGTTGGAGAAAGTGGACCTCAGGAACTCACTGGGTAGCCAGCTCAGTAAAAGAACCAATTGCTTTTTTTGTTTTAAGATTATTTTATGAGCCGGGCAGTGGTGGCACAGGCCTTTAATCCCAGCACTCGGGAGGCAGAGGCAGGCGGATCTCTGTGAGTTCCAGACTAGCCTGGTCTACAAGAGCTAGTACCAGGACAGCCTCCAAAGCCACAGAGAAACCCTGTCTCGAAACTCCCCCCCCCAAAAAAAGATTATTTTATGTACAGAGGTGTCTTGTCTACACACCAGAAGAAGACATGGGATTCCCATGAGACTACAGTGTTGGGAATTGAACCCAGGTCCTCTAGAAGAGCAGCCAGTGCTCTTAACCACCAAGCCATCTCTCCAGCCCCCAAAAACCTATCTTAAGGAACTAAGGAGTGACCAGATGACCTCCCCACTCTCCAAGTGCACAATGCATCACACACACATCCACAAAAAGAAACCAAGATTTAGTCAAGTCGGTTTGGAATTGTACTGAAAATCATGATCCAAGCAACCAGAGATCATTAAAAAGTTGCCCAGTGAGGCCCAGTGGCTGTAATTCCCAGCTACCCAGGACTCTGGGACAGGAGGATGCAGAGTTCAAGGCCAGCCCAAGCAACCCTGTGAGATCCTGGCTCAAAAAGTAGTAACTAAATGATAAATGGCTGTGTGAGTGAAGTTACAGCTCAATGGTAGAGCCCTCCCCCAGGTTCAGTTCCTAACACTCCACCACAGGCTCTGGGCTGTGAGAGCTGGGAAAGAAGCGCTTGCTGACAAGCTGAGCCATCCGAGGTCAATCCCCGGAACCCACATGGTAAAAAGAGAGAACCAATTGCTTCAAACTGTTCTGACTCACACACCTGTGCATGGCACGTGTGTTCCCACACACATTTACATACAATTAAATAAATGTAATACAAAAATTAGTCCCAAGTAAGTTTACAGATTTGCAAACCAAGACCACACTGCTGTGGGGCCAGATAAGTGACATTATTCTAATGTTAGACCTTCTTAACCAAAAGCCAATGGCAAGGTTGCAGAGAGAACTCCAGTAAGAAAGGACCAACAAACTTAAAGGCTAACCTGAGTTACACTGTGGTCAAGCTTAGGTTTCAGCCACCAGTAGAGTCCCTCCAATAAACCAATACATTTCCTATAACCGATGTTCCCAGTCCCATCTCCGAAAAGTCTTCTGAGTGTCAAGTCAGAGCTGCTCCTGCCTGCCTTTAGTTTTCTGTATTCTATTCCCAACAGCTGTTTCCTAGTTTACTAGAGTGTTATTCAACCTCTCGGGTTCTGCAATCTCCACCTGAAACACCCACAGAGCTCGGGCACCTAAGTGGCACTCCAGACACAGCAGGGAACGGAACCCAACACGGCTTACAGGAGGAGCCACACCGTTGGCCTTTGTCCCACAGCACCTAGGCCTACTGTGCCATGGCAGCAACGATGTCAGGAACCTAAACTTGCACACAAGCAGCTTTTCAGGGGTTGTCCACTTTGACAATCTCATTTAGTGTCGCTACGAGACTCCCTCTCTGGCCAGATTCTGGAGGGGCCTGCAGTCACTCAGCACCCTGGGGGTCGCTCCCTCACAGGCTGGACAGGCAGCATAGCCTGCAAAGAGGGATGCCGTGTCTGCACGTTTGACTGCTTAGGGGAATTCAAGCGTGGGTGATCCTCGTGGACAACCTAACGGGCCTTGGAGATACAAAAGACCTCGGGTGCACGCAAGACTTCAAGCAAACTCATTTCTGGTCAGGTCCAGGGCTGGTTGCTACGGAATGCGACTTGTCATGTCGTGGACTTATCGCTGCTGCTCGAGAGCCGGGCACTGTGGTTTCACGGTCTGAGGCACACTCAGGCCTCCAAGGCCTACCCTGACAAGTGTGTGCTCGGGACCCGAGCTGCTGCCTTCCCAACGCCAGGCTGGGACCGGGTTTCCCGCCCCCCGGCCCGACCAGAGGTTGGTGACAGTTGAGGAAGCTGGGACCGGCCCCAGCAGGCTGGAACCGGTCTGGGCCGAGCTGGAGAAGGAAGGGGGGGAGGGAGAGACAGCCTCGCGCTCTCCCTGCGCGCGTGACTCACGCTGGCCGCTGACGTCAGGCGTGCGCGCGCGGCGGGGGGGGGCTCTACGTACGTGTAGTGCTGCGGTTTCTCGGGCTGTGCCTGCAGCACCTGAGCGGTAGCGGCCGGGGGGGCCGAGGGGGGGGCCCAGCCGCCGGGCCCGGGGCCCTTCGACATGGTCCTGTCTTCCTGCCTCTTCGCCGCTCCCCTTTTATTATTCAGTCTGCGCGGTCCGCGCCGAAGACCCACAGCGCCTGCGCCGCGCCACGAGAACGTGAAGACCCCCCGCACGGCAGCAAAGATTGCTGGGAGTTGTGGTCCTCCCTGCGGCTGAAATTTTAGCGTTGACACAGGGTCGCTGCCAACGCGCAAGACCACAATACCCAGGGATCTTTGCAGACCGTGTCCCGGATGCTAAGGACCCGCGATGGCTTGTGGTAATTGTAGTCCAGTCGCTCTTAACTGTTACCAGCGCGTTTTCAGTGTGGTAGGAGGAGAGCTTCTCCTTAAAACCTGGGACCTTCGAAGTACGAGAAGCCGGTTAGGGAGGCCCTAAACAGAATATTCCAAGTGTAATTACACCGCCAACAGTGCATTAATTACCTTATGTCCGTACCAGCACAGTTTGCGCAAGGTTTCTAAAGTCAGCCTAGAGCATTGCCTCCAAGCAAGTGAGCGAGCGAGCGAGCAAGCAAGCTTGCCAGCCAGCATCTTCTTAGTACCCTGTAAATCAGCAGACAACGTATGCCGCTGGCAGACGGCTGGAGCAAGCTTTGCACTACACCATATTGTTCCGCGCTTCGTTGACGTTTACCAAGCCTGAAACCTGGGCTCCTGAACTCAGTGACTGGCCCGAACACCCGGTTTCCAGTACACCAAGGTCCAAGGGCGAACTTAATCTAGAGTACTCTTAGGTACTGGTAAAGTGAGAAGCTTCACCGTAGACTCCGAGTGAA